CGGAAAACTACAGAGGAATAACTCTTATGAGCACAGGATATAAAATTTACGTAAGTAAGTATTCAGGACAGATATATTAAATGTACACTAAAGCTAGATAAGAGTACTCCGAGATACCTTCTTCAGGAAGAAACTAAATATGAAATACTGACCATAAAGTATTCAAAAAGGTCCTTAAAGTACGAAGAAAAAATATTAAATTCCGAAAGCAACGTGATACTAAAAGAATGTGTAAAAGTTAAGGACAATATTTCGGTCTTGCAAAAGGAAGAAAAGAAAACCACAAGGGAGAGATGGAAAAAAGAAAGAAAGAATTTTTTAATGGAGAGAGGATGGTCAATCAAACATAATCTATGGAAGCTGGAAAATGAGAGAAATGTATGGAAGGAACTAGAAAACTTAATTAAAGATATTGATAAACAAAGAAGGAGAGAGAAAATGAGAAACATGAAATTCGGTCAAGAGTACAAGATATTATGGAAAGAAGGAGAAGAAAAACCTCATTATTTGAAAGATGAAGGAGTAAAGAGAAAAAACGAGCTACAATTAACTGCAAGATTCAGATTGGGAAGTGAAAATAGAGCGTCAAGGTGTTGGGAGGAAGAAGAAAAGAAAATATGCAGATTATGTAAAAAGGAGCCAGAGACGCTTGAACACATTTTTGAGCGATGTGGGGAAACGGGAAGTTCTGCAAAAAGTTAGAAAGCTCAACAGGAAGGAATGAACAACATGAAAAGGATGACAGAAATCTTGTGGAAGAGAAAAACAGCAGGAGATGAAAAATAATAAAAAATTGTACTTTGTATATAATCAACATATTTTAATAAAGGTCATATATATAACTAAAGGCTTTGATAAGCAAAAGGATGAGAAAAAAAATAGAAACAAAAAATTTCGCAAAGGAATATTAGAAAATATGGACAGAAAAGACGGAAAAAACAAAAAGCAAAGAGTAAAAAGAAATTAGTTTTAACAACAAGATTTAGACTAGAATATGAAAGTAGCAAGGGACTGGGAAAAAGATGAGAAGAAAATATGAAGATAGTGTAAACTGGAACCAGAGACGTTCGAACACATTTTAGAGAGATGTGGAATAACAGGAAATGGGACAATTCAAATGGAAGGAAAGGATGGTCTAAATAAGATAGAAAAATATGAATAAGGAGGAAAATAGCAGAAAAACGAGAAAGTAGAAAAGAGAAAATAAGTAAATGTAAATGTAATTGCACCTTGTATATATAAAACATATTTATTGCATCGAGCAGCCGTATGACTCCCGCCCGTGCTTTGAAATAGGTTGTTCTCTAGACAAAAGTTCAGAATATCGTTGTATAAATTTAAGTATTAATATAATAAACGAAGAAAAAGTATCCGTACTAGTAGATAATGGGGCAGATATATCTTTATTAAAAGTTAGTAAACTAAAGGATGACTGCCTTATCGACACATCATTTTCAGTCCATGTAACGGGTATTGGAGGTAGTCATGTTACTACCATAGGAAAAACAGTTGCCATTGCTACCTTACTAAATAACAAAAAAATACCTCACGAATTTCATGTTGTAGAAAAGGAAATTCCTGTACTTGACGATGGCATTTTAGGCCGCGATTTCTTACAGAAAGATAAAGTAGTTTTAGATTATAATAGAGGTACTTTTAGTGTAGATAATTGTTCTTTAGCGTTAAGAAGTTCACAAAATTTAATTACTATAAAACCCCGCAGCGAACAATTTGTTAACTTTAATACTAAGTCATTACATGAAGGTCTTGTAGAAACTTTTGAATTAAAACCAGGTATTTTTGTCGGTTCGTGCTTAACTAAACCTACAAATGGGCAGTGTGTTGTTAGCGTTCTTAATACTACCGAAGAAACATTACAAATTCGCGTACCGGAAGTAAATTTACATGAAATTGGTCCAAATCATTGCACACAATCTAAATCTCATGCACCAGCTGTCCATACAATGAATATCAAATCTCAAATCCATGATCGTTTAGAAATTTTACGGAATAATTTAAGACTAAGTCACTTAAATCATGAAGAGAAATCAGAGTTGCTAAATATTATAGAACAATATAGCGATATATTTTACTTAGACGGCGACATTTTATCTTTTTCGAATGCAGGAGTGCATAAAATTTATACTAAATCTGACGTAGGTCCAATCAATGTTAAACCATACCGTTTACCAGAATCGCTCAATTCAGAATTAGAAAAACAAATCAATAAAATGTTAGAGGAAAACACAATTCGTCCATCAAAGTCACCATGGAATTTTCCAATACTTTTTGTACCAAAAAAACAAGACGCTTCAGGTGAAAAGAAGTGGCGGCTTGTGGTTGACTATCGTAAATTAAACGACATCACAGTGGGTGATTCGTTTCCCTTACCATCTATTGCAGATATTTTTGACCAATTAGGAAAGAGCCAATATTTTACAACTCTCGATTTAGCAAACGGGTTTCACCAAATTCAGCTAGCCGAGGAAGACAAGGAAAAAACAGCCTTCAGCACAAAATTTGGTCATTTTGAGTACAATAAAATGCCAATGGGCCTTAAAACAAGTCCTGCCTCATTCCAAAGAATAATGAATTGTATCTTAAGCGGTCTACAAGGTTTAAAGTGTTTTATATACTTAGACGATATTTGCGTTTACGGTTCTAATTTGAAAGATCATAATGAGAAATTAAAGGAAGTTTTCGAGAGACTTCGCTCTGCTAATCTTAAATTACAGCCCGCTAAGTGCGAATTTTTAAGACGCGAAGTAAGTTACTTAGGACATTTAATAACTAGCAACGGAATTTTACCTGATCCTGAAAAAACAAAAGTAATTTTAGACTATCCTATACCTCAAAATGTTAAACAATTAAAATCATTTCTTGGTCTCTGTGGATACTATAGGCGTTTTGTTAATAATTATAGTTTTATTACACTACCCTTAACAAAGCTTTTAAAAAAAGATTCTGTTTTCCAATGGTCCGATTTATGCAACAAATCATTTCAAAATTTAAAACAAATTCTTTCAAATCAACCCCTCTTGCAATTTCCTAACTTCAATGAAAAATTTTTATTAACAACAGATGCTTGTAACACTGGTATTGGTGCAATTTTATCTCAAGGAAAAATAGGCGACGATTTACCTATTGCATATTGCAGTCGCGCTTTAAATAAAGCAGAACTGAACTACAGCACCACTGAAAAGGAGCTTTTAGCAATTGTTTGGGCCACTAAACATTTCCGCCCTTATCTCTTTGGCAGACGTTTTATTATCATAACAGATCATAAACCTCTAGTTTGGCTTTTCAGTGTAAAGGATCCCGGTAGCAGACTAATAAGATTTAGGTTAGCATTAGAAGAGTACGATTATGAGATCGTATATAAGGCAGGTAAAATCAATGTAAATGCGGACGCTTTAAGCAGAATACCTTATCAAGTAAACTGTGTAAAGACACATTTGGATTTCCAAGAATTTAAGGAACTAACACAAGCTCAATTAATCCAGAACCACAGAGTTATTGAAATAGTCGGAAATATTTTCAATTCATCTTCTTCTCATGTACTTAATTTTGTTTCAAAAGATAATATACCCATTAATGAGATAACAAACGAACTACAAACACAGTATAATTTTCATTTAGGTAATGAGTTACAAAATTGTGAAGTAGGAGATATAATATTAAAATCAACACACGTTAAGACAATAGTCAACCTTGTTTTAGTTAACAATAACACCGACTCTGTAGAAATCGAAAAGTTTTGGCAATACCTAAACAGAATTAAAGACGAGTGTTTGATTAATAATATAGCGACATTAGTAATTCCTAAGGAAATATTTTTTAAAGTAGGTGTACCATTTGAAGATATTCGTATGATGTTGCGTTTCATATTTAAAAATACTCTAATTGAGATCACGATTTATGACCCGAAACGAGAATATTCAGAGCAAATTAAAGAAAAAATTTTATACGAATTTCATAACACTCCCATTGGCGGACATAGCGGTTACAATCGTACATACAAAAAATTAAAACAATACCATTCTTGGCCAAATATGAAAAGTGACGTTCGAGAATATATTAGAAAATGTGACAAATGTCAAAAGAATAAAACCACGATTAAGCATAAAAACCCCTTAGTCATTACGGACACTGCTATTCGTCCCTTACAAAAATGTTTCGTAGACATCGTTGGACCACTTCCTATTACAGATCAGAATAATAAATATATTCTTACATTTCAAGATAACCTTACTAAATACTCTGAAGCGGTCGCAATGCCAGATCAAGAAGCTGAAACAGTAGCCCACTATTTAACTAGTAAGATCATTTGCAAATTAGGAACTCCTGAATCATTAGTTTCAGATCAAGGAACAAATTTTTGCAGTACAATTCTAAGAGGTGTTTGTAAATTATTGAGGATAAATAAAATCCAAACCACTGCATATCATCCTCAATCAAATGGCCAAGTTGAAAGGTCACATAGAACATTAGCAGAATATCTAAAAAGCTTTATAAACAGTACTCAAACTGATTGGGATAAATGGCTAGATTATTACACTTTTATGTACAATTCAACCCCTCATACTTCTACCAGCTTTAGTCCATACGAACTAATGTACGGTCGAAAGCCCATTATACCCAGCTCTATAGAGAAATTACCGGACACTCAATATAGTTATGATGATTATTTACAAAATTTAAAACATAAATTGCAATTAGCCTGGAACAGTGCTAAAAATAATTTAATAACATCGAAAGTAACGGCAAAACAATATTATGATCGGGACAGCAAAATTAAAGATTTCAAAGTTGGTGATTTAGTTCTTTTGCATGATCAAAGTGTAAGGCGCGGTCGAGCGAAAAAATTATCGTCGTCTTGGATAGGACCATACAAAATTCTTGCAAAAATATCAGATGTAAATTATTCTATAAAAAGAGGAAAACATTCAACAATTGTTCACATTAATAGATTAAAAGCTTATTTTGAGTAAATAAGATTTTTTATAGTTTCAGATAATGAAGTTCCTTCCTTTCATTCTTATTTTCTTAATCTCCATATTTCCTCTACACTTTTGTGAAGAAAACTTTTTAGTAACCCAAATCCAACATAATCCTGGAATTTATTTTGAGAAAATGGCCAATGTTCAGTTCTATAGCAATGAGTGGAAATTAATAACACATGTAGATATTAAACAATATCTTGACAATTTCGAAAGACTTGTTAATTTTAACGATAGAACAATCTCTATGTGCAATAAATTAAAAGACTACGTCACCTCTACTTGCAGCCAATATTTAGCAGTAACTCGAGAAATCATACAGAAAATAAAAGCTCAAACTATTCTTGTTCAAGATCTTGTCGGATCTAATAATTTACCTCTCCGGAAAAGACGTGGATTATTTGATATAATTGGTAAAGCCGAGAAAATACTTTTCGGAACTCCTGACGCGGATGATGCCTTGTATTATGACAAAACCATTTCAGAAATTTCCGAAAATGAACGTAAAATGCATAACTTACTTGTTAAACAAACATCCGTAGTTCAAGGTACCGTTCATTCCATTAATCAAACAATTAGTAATGTTGTACATAACGAAGCCTTGGTGCAGAAAAATCTTGACGAACTTGCAGATTCTTATAAATTAATGTATTCTGAAGTTTCAAACGTTAGGACGAATATAGATATAGAAGTTAAATTTTTAGAACATGTCAATATTTTAACATCCATAATTAACCAATATCAGATTGATATTCAAAACTTAATAAATGCGCTTATTGTAGCCAGAGTGGGTCAGATACATCCTTCTATCCTTAGCCCTAACCAGTTAATCGCAGTAATCAAAAAGCTCTTTCCTACCTTTCCCCGCGACTACACTATCCTGTTTTTCTATCAACGGAAAATAGTCATCTTCTTCACAAGCTAATCATGGTTATAAAAGTTCTACTAGAGAAGGACGAAGAATGCACTGTTTTTAAATTGCATCCCTTACCATTTAATGCTTCAGGATCATTCATCTTCATTCAACCATCAGTCACTTACCTGGCCATCGACAAATCTAAACAGCTTTTCGTTAGTGTAAGTGAAAGTGAATTTCAACAATGTGTAGTTTTAAAAAGTGAGCGTTTGTGCAAACATCAGCAACCAGCAAGACTAATGATGAACTCAGAGATATGTGAAATTGCACTTTACAAAAATAAATTGAACTCAATGAATGACTGAGAGAGAAAAATATCACATAACACTAGGTCATATAAATTATAACTATTTGAAAACTATGTGTGATAAACAAGTATTAAAAGGTCTGCCTAAAGAGTTAGAGTCTGATTATTTTAAGTGTGGTATATGTTTAGAAAATAAAATACATAACTTACCATTTAAAAATGGAAGAACTAGGGCAAGTGATATATTAGAAATTGTTCACACAGATCTGAATGGTCCTCATAGTACTCCTGGATTGAATGAGGAACGATGTTTTTTGACTTTCATTGATGATTTTAGTAAAGCGGCTCAGGTTCATGTAATTAAATCTAAGAGTGAAGTCTATAACTGTTTTGTCGAATATATAAATTCAATTGAAAATATGACTGGTAAAAATATAAAGAAATTGCGCTGTGATAATGGTAAGGAATATATGTCTAAATGTCTAAATTTGCGTGTGAAAAAGATATTGAAATAGAACCTTGTCCGCCATATGTTCATGAGCTAAATGGGACAGCAGAAAAATATAATAGAGATATAATGGATATGTCTAGATGTTTGTTAGCAGAAGCAAAGGTACACAAGTGTTTTTGGCCAGAAATTGTTAAGACAGCGGCTTATTTAAGGATACTTGATCACAAGCAATGGTACTAGACCATTACCTGAGAAAGTACAAGCCATCACCGATTTCCCAAAACCAGAGTCAGTAAAACAATTAA